CAAAGCCCAGTGTGCAACCCTCTGGCAGGTCCACTTCATTGGCCATGATCCAGCATGTCCTGGCTGGGACTTTTTTTTTTTTTTTTTGAGACAGGGTCTCACTAGCCCAAGCTGGCCACAAATTACAGCAGGATCCTCCTGCCTGAGCCTTCCAAGTGCTGGGATCACAAGTGTGTGTTACCAAGCCTGGCTGGCTAGTACATTTCTTTTAAAATTTCTTCCCTGTTCTCCTTGTGAACTTCTTAGCTTCATCCAAGATGGCATCTGGATTTGATTTCACTTTTAGTTCTTTAACAGGAGAGAAAGCCATGTCCTCTGCCATCCAAAAAGGGAAACTGAGGCAGTGGAGCTTCGGCATGAGGACTGGAGTTCTCCCGTGGACCCAGAGCTAAGTGGCCCATGGGGACAGGGGGCCCTGCGCCTTTTTTGTCTAACACGGTGCTAAGCAGCACTGATGCTCTGATTCTCTAGGCAGCCCTGGAGGGCAGATGTAGCCCTTGCCCAGCTCCAGAGCACAGAGGATACCGTTTCTCTCCTTAAACCCACCCAGTAGGGCCATTCTGTCACAACAGCAGGCAACGGGCCACCATAGAAACCCTCTCCCCCATCTGTCAAAGTACTATCAAATCATGAAGACCCTACCCCAATGCCCCTCCCACACCACGTGGGAACTCTACCATTTCCCAGGAGACCCTTCCTCCCCGCTCAGCTGCAGCACCCAGGACCCCAGCACTTGGTACCCTAACAGGCACACAAAGGGCTGGGGGGGGGGGCTCTGTTGTACATCTCACTCCCCCTGCAGACTGGGACCCTCAGGCGTCCTGTCTCACACTTGCTGGGGGCCGGGACCAGGCAGCCTCTTAGCCCCACTGCAGTGTTCCATCGAGATGCATCCCTAGTCCCCCACTGCCCTGCCCTGAGACAACACGGGACAGGGACATCCTAACTCCACCCTGGACCCCTGTCCATCCTGAGCCCCTCAGCTGTGCACCTCCCTCCTGCACCCAGAGCCTCCCTAGGGGATGGCCTGGTAGGCTCGTGTCCCTGTCCCTCTGCCCCCCAAGCCAGCACGTCCACCTCTGTGGCCATCCGGGGCCTCCACAATGGCCCATCAGATCACAGACAGATCGCTGCCCCTGGATCAAACTGCCGTGAGGACAGAACTTGCACCGTGCTGTAAATATGGACTCCTAAAATAAATCTCGGCTACTCTGGGAAATGCATCCACTGGAACCAAAGCCCTCTGATGAGCCTGGCCCTGTCTTCTGCAGCCGACACCTGTATCATGGAGGTGGCTCTTGGGACTGAACAGCAGGGCTGGGAGTCAAGACCCCTGCAAGCTACAGGGCTATAGGGCCCAGGGACCAGGGACCCGCATGCCAGGACCACGCCTACTCCAACGCTGGGGACAAGTTAGAGGTGGCAGTCCCCTGTACTAGAGACAGCATGGAGGCCAGGTAAGAGCTTCCCCAACAGGGCAGTCCCAGGGCCTGCTCTGTACCCTCCACTGGCCCGGACCCCCCCACAAGGGCCCAGCTGACTGGGGGTGGGGTGGCACCAAGCACCCAGTCACCCAGTCACCCACTGCTGGGTCCCTGATCAGCTCCTGGCTTTTTTTCAGTGCTAGAAGCTCCCAGGGTGTCCCCTTGCTACCGTCCATCCTGTAGAGCAAGCCAGATTCCACCCCAGGAGCTCTGTGCTCGACAGCAGCTGCCAGGGCCAAACTCACCCTGATGTCCACCAACAGCCTCCACTATGGTGTGAGCCTCACCTCCAGCGCCCCCTACTCAGGCACAGGGGTCTGGTCCCTGGCTCGATCCAGGGCGCCCCTGGCCCCTTCTTCCTGCCTTCCCTGTCATCCTGTCACCTAGCACACTGATTGTTGTCTACACTGCCTGGCCCACCTGCCTGAACAGGCCCAGCTGCCAGGCCCGGCTCCTCTAAGGGTGGCTGTGGCGGCTGGAGGCACAGGTGCCCAGCACGTATTTATCAAGGACAAGCCTGGTGCACCAACATCCTGAGCACACACAGACGCTGCCAGGAAAGCCAGACGGGTGCCGACCACACCGCTGGAAATCCTGGAAGTGGCTGCAAACCACCCTGAAGCCTGGCTTTTCCTGACCTTAGGCTCAGATAAGGTCATCCAGAAAATGCTAGGGGCTTCATCTGAGTGAATGGGGCTCCTCCCAAAATCCAGTATGGGGCGGTTGTAGTGATCTCCTAATTTATTAATCTGTGGCCTGAAGAAGTGTCACAGCTGCTTCCAAAGCAGAACATGCTTGTATATTCTTGGATGTAAATTTTTTTGTAAAAATAGGAATCAGATATGAAAAGAAAAACTCTATATAGAAGAGAACTCTGAGCGTTTCCCTTTGAAAATCCTAAGTCTAACCCAGGAGTCTGAACGGCTCCCTGGGAGGCCGAAACTGGGAGCCAGAGGGAGCAGAGAAAATACGGAGACAGGACGGTGACAGTGCTCAGGCCAGGGACAAAATGCCGCCAGCTGGGGTGGAAGATCTGTCACCCAGGGATACTGCAGGAATCGCAGCCCCCTCTGAGGAGGACGGTCCTTGTCACCTCTTCCGGTCAGTCACAAGGCCAGGTCATCTTCCCTGTCACCCTTGGTGACACAGAGGGACTGGCCAGGCTCTCCACGTCCACCTGCACCTGGTGGACCCCGATTCCAGGAGTAGCTTGGGCAAAGGTGGGTTCTGAAGGTTCCGCCCAGGCTCAGTCCACGTGTCCCCATCACATGCTGGCTGCTCCCCAGTCAAGCCACCTGGTCCCAGTGGGGGTCACTCCCAGGGCATAGAAAAGGCTGGGGCAGCCACTTTGGGGGCTGCACTGAGGCAGCGCCCAGAAAGCACTTGCGGGGGGTGGAGTGGGGGGACACTCTCCATCCATCCGGGATCAAAACTCACCCCAGGTCACACTGGGCTGGGCCCCCACCTGTCCACCCTTTCCCAGTGGAAGGGCACAGGCCACCTGCTTGTCCACTCCCCCACCTCTGCCACCAAAACATTCAGGAAAGTAAATAGAAAAGGGGTCCTGGGGACCCACTACCCATCTCTGCTTTCCTACACCCCAAAAGGGCTGGGGTGCAGTGACCCTCGCGTGGACTCCCCGCGTCTATATCCTGGGGCTAGTGTCAAACGACATGGAGGCGGCCGTGGGCGTCGTCGGCCCCTTGGGCCCGGCGTGGGCGGTGGGCGTGGGTGCTGGGCCCGGACCCGCGGAGGGGATGGGCGTCGGGCCCGAGTGGGCAGCGGCCTGGACGCGATCCCGGCCGGCGCTGCGCGTGGTGGCCGGGGCGTGGGCGCGGCGGGGCCGGCGGGGCAGTAGGGCGGCGGGCGGGCCGGGCGCGGGCGCGCTGGGCGATCCCGGAGCGGCTCCGGAAATCCAGCCGGGTTTTGAGTCCGATCGCCGGCGCCCGCGGCCGCGCGGTGACAAAGAACCGGCGGCGCGGGGCCGGAGCGGGGCGCGGGCGCGGGCGCGGGCGGCGGGCGGGGCCGGGGCGCGGGCGCGGCGGGCGGGGGCGGCGGCGCGGCGCGGGCGGCGGGGGCGGCGGCCGGGGCTCTACCTGCGCAGGACGGCGCCGAGCGGGCCGGATCCAGACTCCGGGTTGCGATCCGCTCCGGAAACTGCGCAGCACCGGAAGCCGCGGGGCGGCGGCGCGGCATCGTGGGAGTTGTAGTGCGGGCCGGGGCGGCGGGGAGCGGGGCTGGGCCGAGGCGGGGGCGTCGCGGGCGCGGCCAGCCAGGGTCGCGGGGCCCGGTCTCGGCGGCCAGTCCGGGCTGTGGGCGCCGCCCTGCCGGGCTCCCGAGCGGGTCACGCCGGTTGGCTTCCGGGGTCCCCGCTGCAGGCGGCGCTGCGGCGCGGCCTGCGGGGCGCCCGGCCTGGCTGGGGCTCCGGGTCCACGCCGCTGCCGCCTCGCGGGCTCCGCGGCAGGCACTGCTGCTCGGGGCCTTGGGAGTCGGTGGTGATGCGGCCGGGGGGGGGGCGCGTTGCAAACGAGCAGCGGCGGGGAGACCCCCGAGAAAGCTGGGACCGGGAGCCCCGAGGACAGCGCTGACTCCTACCGCGACGAGAAAACTGCGGCCGAGGCCTCGTCTGTTTCCAGATTAGCAGCGACCAGGGTTACAGCGTTGTTTGGAAGAAAGCAGAGCAACGCTCGTTCGTCCACAGCCGGCGGGACAAGGCCCCCACTCGGGTGGCGGTGGCCTCCACGAAACCCCGAGGCCAGGACCCCGGGGTCCCCATACGCAGGGACTTCCCCGTTGGACACTTGTGTAGGTTGGTAACAGACAGCCCGGGGGTGCCCCCAGGGGCCTCTCTTAACACCCCAGGATCTGCCAGGGACCCGGGACCTCCGGCCAGCCTGCCTGCCCTTTGCGTGGTCCCTGCAGCCTGCCCTGTCACTCTCCATCTCTTGTTGCCAGTCTTTGCCCAGATCCTTCCCCCTGCCCCTGCAGGTCTCCAGCACCACCCTGCCATTCTCCAGATCGGGTGTTTCAGACCCCAAAATGCCCCGCCGGGTGCCCCACCCTACCCAGAAGTACCCTTGAGCTCAAGCCAGTAATTTGCAGGGTACGTTGACAGTCACCACAGGAGTCAAGGCCACTGGAGGTCCTTACACACTGTACAGGCCTGGATTGGTGTTCATAGCCACCTGGCTGCCCCAGGCCCCAGGGAACTCAGTACAGCCCTCCATAAAGACTGGAAAGAATACTGTCTGTTGGAGGCAGGCTCACACTGCAAATTCTAACACTGCAAATTCTAATGCCAGGGGGAAAAGTAACGCTTAAAACATCAAATTGCCTCAAGTTCAAAGCCAGCCTGGGCTACATGGTGAGTTCAAGGCCAGTCTGAACTTCAGAGTGAAGCCCTGTCTGGGGAAGGAAAAAAAAAAGCCTCAGAGATACCCTTAGCCGCTTCTCTGCTCATCTCCACCTTTTAAATTTTTAAATGTAATTTCTATTCTACAGCTAGAGAGAAGAGATGATTATCAGCAAATAAATTCCTACTGTGTGCAAAATGTGGAATGTTACTCTGTAGTATTCTTGCCTGCGGCTAGCAGCCTTAAAGTTCAGAAATGACCATGTGAGGCTAGTCCTTCGTCTCTGCACCTGACTCAGGTAGATCCCTGTGGATTCCTCCAGCTGGGGGAGAAGGGTTGGGAAGAGCCGGGGTTCATCTGAAGGGACTCAGCAGATCAGAGGGGACAGGTTTATCAGGTCCTGTGGCCCCACCCCAGAGCACTGTCACACTCATGGCCGAGCTGGCTCCTTCCCACTGAGGCCACCCACCAGGGCAGGCAGGACAGCAGGTGCCCTTGAGATGACCACATCCCTGCCTGTGCCCCAGTGCCCTTGCAGGTCAGGTGGGTCCCTGTCTAGGTGGTAGCCTGAGCCACACCACCGTGTAGCCTTCATCCTACCCCACATGTCCCTCACTCTCCCAATGTGTCCCCCAAAAGTTGTGCCAGGCTCGGCTGCTGGGGACCCAAAGCCTGGAGTCCCTAGCATGAGAGGACACAGTTCAGCCCCCTTGAGGGGGCCCATCTCGTTCTCCAAAAATATATGATTTAAACTCATGCTGTCATCTGAGGACTCCAGAAGCCAGAGGCAGGAGGACTGTGCCCAGCCTGGGCAACACAGCGAGACCCTGCTGGGGGTGGGGGAGGTAGCTGAGTTCACAGGCTGTAGATTCAGTCCCTAGTGATGGAAAAGATGTAGAAGGGAAGGGTTCTGCTGACAGCTAAGGCTGAAAAGACAGTGGTTCCCCACCTGCCCTTCTTGTAGGTCTGCTGTCTATGTCATGAGCCCCATGCAAGAGCAAAGAGAGACCCTAACCCAGAGACCCTGTTCCCCGAGGGACTCCCAGAGCACACAGGGCTCGGCACAAACCACGCCAGCCATGTTCCATGTGCACATTTATTTCTTCCAACGACCACTCCTGCTGCAGCCAGGTGTCCCCCAGTGGGGTTGGCACCTGTGTCTAAAGTGCTGCTGAGGCCACAGCCGTCGCCACAAGTCCAATGCCCACATGCCACACCGCGCCAGCCTGAACCTGCATCTTCTTTCAGTGTGGTACCGAAGATAGCCTTGGGGACCTTGGGCCGTGGTCTAGGATGTGAAGAGAGCCCTGCGGCTCTGGGCAGTGGAGACTGCCTGGCATCCGGCTTCGCACTGACCCTGAGACCTGTGTCTCGCCTGCCAGAGCGCATGATCTGACTTCCGTTGTCTACCTGTGCGCGTGCTGAGGATTGAGGCCCCCAATTCTCCAGTGTGTTGCCCAGAAAACACCTGCTTTCCAGTGGCAGCAGTGACACAGACCCTCTCCTTCTGCTCAGGAACACAATCCTGATCTCAAGTCTGCAAGTCCCCGTAAGTCTGGATGGGCAGAGACCAGCCAGGCAGCCGAGGCGAGGAATCCAGGGCTGGTGTTGGACTTAAAACTTGAAACGTGATTAAAATAAAGTGCTCAAGTGACTCCTTCTCTCAGCAGGTTTTCCATCAGAACAAGAGGTCCCAACTATTGCTACGTGGAAACGCGCGTGTGCGCACGCGCGCACGCGCACACACACACACACACACACACACACACACACACACACACACACCTTTGAAAGTCCCAGGGAAGCAGGCTGGGAGGTGGGTGGCTCATCCCAACCAGCCCCCCCACCTGTTTCTGGAGACACAAAGCCTTGTCAGTGTTCCTGGTTTAGGGGTAATTGCTTTTAAATTTTCATCTGCAAAAAAGTATTTCAAGACAAAACAAACAAAAAATACCCACCAAAGCCCTGAAGCCACTGAAGCTTGTGGCTGGTGAGTCTCCCACCTGTACTGTTAGCACACGCTTGGTCACCTAAACCCACTTTTACCTTTGGTGACACAAACGCCTTACACCATGAAAACACAGCCCCAAAGGAACACTGGAAGAGGGCCTTCACTGTGTTGGACAGCCTGAGGTCACCTGCTGTCTCCTGGGTCCCTGTCACCCTCTGCCACAGTGTTTTCTGTCACAGGAAAGGCCACCTGCTGGAGGGCACACAGGCCACCAGACAGGAACATAAAGAGGGGGAGAGGCGTGTGAGGCTCACTGGGGAACAGGACGGTTACAGTTTCTTCTGTTTGAGGAGGGTAACCTAAGATTCAGATGGCAAACACTGATCCACTGGAATTTCAAAACCAAACCGTTGACACTATCTGCAGGGCCTGCCTAATGCAAAGTCTGAAGCCTTCTGAGGATTGGGGCACTTGGTCTCAGATTTTGAGCACTCTGGGTTTTCAGATTGGGAAAGTCTAATCACATACTCCAAAATTAGAAAAACTTTGAAATTTGAAACCCTTCTGGCCCCTCGGCATTTTGGGTAAGGGGTGCTCCATCTGTACTAAGTTCTGATCAGGGTCCTCAGTTCCAGCATACCATACCCTCTCAGGAGTATGCCTTGTGAGCTCAGTGAGATGGCATACACCAGTACTAACCCCCACTATTCAGGAGACTGAAGCAGGAGGACTGCCAGGTTCACAGCCGGAAAACTTAACACCCACCCTGCCTCAAATGAATTTTTTTAAAAGGGCTGAGAGTGTAGCTCAGAGGTAGGGCACTTGCCTAGCATGTGCAAGGCTGTGGGTTCAATCCCAGTACAGAAAAAGAAGAAAAGGAAAAACAGAGTTTGTTGTACATCACAAGTTCTGCCCAGCACACAACAGCCTAATATTTCAAGTTCACCAAAAGAGTAAGGAACCTCCACTCCCCAGAGACCAGCAGCAATCACTCACACTGGGGACTGACTTGTTGACGTGGTGGGTTTGGAACATTACAGTGCTGAACTTCAGAACAGAACCTTTTTAAAAACAGTGGTGCAAAGTCATCTCGAAGTCACCTGATATCTCCCAAACACCTAAGTACTGCTTACCATGAATTTGAAAGTGAAATTTCTAGTGTATTTCACTTTCTCCCTCAAAAGCAGGAAAGAAAAAAAAAAAAATGGTAGGGCTCGGGCTCTGCCCCGGGTTTCTACCCAGCTGATGCCTGGCTTGGGGATTCTCAAGAGGCACTGCTTTTCACCCTGGTGCTTAGGGCTGGGTTTCCACACCAGCCTTCTCTGGCTCAGTGAGGCTGAATCCGGGGAGGTACCACCATCATTGGGAACAGTCGCTCCATAACACACTTGTCCCCCCATGCTGCAGACCATCACGGGGCCCAGGGCAAAGTGCTCGCCCATTCAGGGCCGGGGAGCACCAGCGTCTTTGATGGGGAGAGAGGTCTGACGTTACAGGACACAAAACCATGGGTCCGCTTAAGGACACCCCAAAATATGCGGGGGGGGGGTGTGGAGAGGGCAGTGTTCAGAGCTGGATGCTGGAGTGCCCTCTAAAGTTCCTGCCAGTCTGCAGTTTGGTATTACACCTGCTTTCCTGAGGTCATTTCCAACACAGCCCCAGGGGCACATATGGCAAAATCCATGCGTGGGAGTCTGGTGACCGGGTTCTCACTGCCCCTGACTTCCTGTCGTGTGGGCATCCTGAGCTCAGCGTGACAGGAAAGTGTGAGAACCATGGCGGCCTGCAAGCACTCCACCTGCAAGTAAGCTCAGGTAAACGTGGAAGTGTTGAGTGAAATATGCATAGGGCGTACGTGGGGTTTGCACACGTGTGCAGATTCTATGGCTAACGTCGTAGGCAAAGGCTGCCTACATTTCATTCCTATCGTAATTCATGTTTATCAAAATCCCGCCACCTCCCTGTCCTCTGAGCCAGGTGCCTGTTTTAATTCTAGCGGAGGGTGAGTCCGGTGCACGGGACAGCACAGGAATACTGTCAGGCGTGGACCCCATACCTTGTGGTGGGCAGAGTGGGTTCTGCCAGCCCCACCCCTCCTCGGTCCAACAAACCCCATTATTCCCTCCTTCCAGAAGAGCCTGAGTAGCTCCCAGGCCGGGGCTAGGGGGCACCGGGCGCCAACTGGGCTCATCAGCCCTCTTTGGGCAAAGCTCCTGGCTGGAAATGCGGGCTGCTTTTCCCCGCCAGAAGAAGCCAAGCTAGGAAGACGGGCTGGGCAGCAGCTGGCGCCACGCAGTCCTGGGTGCATCGAGGTCCCCGTCCTACGGCTTCCTGAGGAAGGAGGTGGCCACGCGGGCTACGTGCAGGGCTCCCCGGGCACCCCGTTCACCGCGTTCCTGCCCCGCTGCCAGGGCAACAGCTTCTTGTTCAGGATGCGGCCGAGCGTCCTGGTCTTCCTGCGCGCCCCCTCCGGCTGCTGCAGGAACAGCAGGTCGTTGTGGGACTGGCTCATGCCCGGGTCCTTCTGCTGGTGCCGGCGGCGGAAGAAGAGCTTCGCCCCTTTCCTGAGGATTCCTCCTGCAAGAAGGCGCAGGGCGGTCAGCCCACCCGGGCGCTGGGAAGAAGGAAGCACCCGGTGGGAGGAAGCGGAAGCCAGCTCTGGGCGGGACCCCAGGCAGGGGCAGAAAGCCTTCCCGCAGGCAGATACCCGCAAGGCTGCCCCTTCCTGCCCAGGCCCTGCACCCCAAGCCAACCGAGGGGCCCGAGAACAATGTGCTGCTTTCTCAGGAAGCGTAAGTGACACGTTGTTTTGGGACTGAGACTTTTTAACATAATTCCAGGTCTGACTCTGTGCACGAAAGTGTGTGACCTGATCACTGTCAATTGCGAAACCTCAGCTTGGGGCTAGGGCACAGCATGGGCACCAGTGCCCGCCTTGTATGCAAGAGGCCCTGGGTTCAATCCCCACACTGCAGGATGGAAGGAAAGGAGGGAAAGAGAGATGGAGGAAGTGAGCCAGAGAGGGAAATAAGAGAAATAGAAGGAAAAACCCTGATTTTGTATGGTTTATCTGTGTACCTTATCAGCTGGTAGAATGTGGAACAGAATATGGAACACTGCCACAGCAATGGCCAGGTGGGCAGTGCACACTTGTAATCCCAGTCCGAAAAGAGGCCATCCTGAACTCACTGTGCAGCCCAGGCTGGCCGCAGACTTCCTGCCTCAGTCTCCCAAGTGCTGGGATTACAGGTGGGCACCACCATGGTAGCCTGAACTATGTAAAGGGACCTTCAATCAAAAACAAAACAAAACAAAACCCAGCAGCGGTTCTTTCACGGTGGGGTCTGAGCTTCGGGGCCCATAAATGGGCCTAGCATTCCAGTCCCCACCATCAGGGAGACCTTGGGGCCAGCCTGTAAGATCCATCACTGTTTGTGCAGTGCACTAATGATTCGGGGACAGTGAAGCCTGCTAGGGAGCTGAGAGATTCACCTCCTACCTGGTAACTCATCCTTCCATGCAAACATTCAGCTGCGCCATGGAAGGAAAGGGGGGGGAGCTCTCAAAGATGGGGGCTAGCGTCAGGCACCCAGGGTGTGCTGCGTGACCTGCACCTGCTACAGGTAAAGAGTTCACTGTGGGACTTGGCGTTAGGGGTGAATGTCCTTGTCCTACTGGCTGACATGGAGAAGCCAGAGTTCCAGGATGAATTTAATCTGGTCAACAGTGAGAATCACATGCACAAGCCTATGACCCTAGCATGCAGGAGCCCAAGGCAGGAGGATCACTGTGAGATCAAGGCCAGCCTGGGCTACATAGTAAGTTCAAGGCCAGCTCTGGAGACCTCAAAAAGAATGGAAAGGGAGGGTATGGATGTGGAAACGGCTCGGGTCCCACCCGCAGGCCTGGCGTGTACCAGCGTGGGGCACACACATTAGTTCCTGGGCTTATTCATGTCCCTGAAAGGCAGCCAATTATAAATATCACCAGCCTGCTGAGGACGGCCGAGGGTCCTCGACAGTGACAAGGCTGGCAGAGGAGCAGTGGGGACGCTGTATGGATCCCCATGTGTCACATGACTTGTGAGACCCAGGGATGAGGGCTCCAGTCACAGGACCCCCAGTTTGGAGGAGGCTCTGAGGCCCATCAGAGTCCAAGTTTGGTGGAGGGAGGCCTGGGGGTCCCTGTGAGCCTAAGATACTGGGCTGCCTCGCCAGCAGCAGAAGCAGGGAAGGAGGACCCCTCCTCCCCAGGGGAAACAGAGGCACAGAGGGGACAGAGCAGCCTGGCCAAGGCCAAACCCAGTGTCAAACCTAGAGGTGGCCTGGGAGTCTGTCCCATGCATCCCAGTACAGGGCCTGTGTGAGGGGCTGAGCAGAGCCTGAGCAATTGCAGGGACTAGGTTCAGGGCCTCACTGTCCCCGAAGTGCACACACTGAGGCCCAGGCCCTTATAAAAGGGGGGACCAGGTCAGATAGATGCTGGGGGAAGAGGGCAGGAGGACCCTGTGACCACAGACACCAAGCCTGAGGCTGTGGGCCCACAAGACTGAGCTACCATCCGCTCCTTTTTTAAGAAATTCTGTTCTGAGATGGGGCTCACTAAACTCAACCCTCCCGTCGCAGCCTCTGAGTGTGGGGACTGCAGGTGCAAGCCACCCAGCCTGGCCGGATCTCTGCTCTTTAAAGCATTTGGCTCCTCATGTTCTGTGACAGTTCTGGGGGATCCCCGGCCGGGCCAGTGAGGGGAGCAACTGGAGAGTGTAACCCATAGTGGCCTCCAGGGGGACCCAGGCCAGGGTGGAGCAGATTTTGGCTGGGTGCTCTGCCCTCAGGGTGCATTTGCACTGGGTGAGGCAGGGCCTGCCAAGGGTACCGGGCTATGGAGCAGAGACTGTGCCTCACAGGCCCTGAGAGGGCACCCCAGGCAGGATGAAGGCAGTAGGCTGGGGCATTTATCTGCAGGAGAGGGGATACCCAGAGTGGGAGTCGAAGGGCCAGTGATGCAAAAGCACCTGGGGGCAGCGGCCAGGTCACCAACCACAGCCACCAATCACAAGGAGCGACATGGACAGTTCTCAGAGAACTTTCCTGGGTGCCGGGGGTTGGCCCATCCTGGTCTGCATGGGGTGAGCGACATCCCAGCCCCTGCCTAGCACTGGAGCTTCTGGTCTCAACCTGCCCACTGTGTGCAGTTCTCAGCTGTAGCCCTGCTCCATGCCCAGGACCCTGCAGCTCCGCTGGCCTCTCCGGAGGCTCTGGTCTCTGGGAAACTCGGTGCCATCTGTGGCCACTCCCAGCACCTGCCACCTCCAACTGGTATGGTGGTTCATGCCCCTGGCACTGGCAGCTGAGGCACAGTCACCGCCTGCAACCTGGCGCTGCATTCTGGGCAGGAGCAAAAGTGCAACCCACCCACAGCCTCGGCCTCCAGGGTCCCTTCAAATGCAATTTGGACCCTGGCCTAGTGTTACCTGTGAGCCTAGCACACAAGAGGCTGAGACAGGAGGATCCTGGTGAGCTCACAGCCAGCCTGGCTGTATAGTGAGACCCTGACTCAGAACAAACCAAAACAAAATAGAAGGTGCACTCTGGGTCACTCACTGCCCGGAAGGGAGACCAGGATGGAAGGAGACAGACAGAAGCAAGGGTGTCCTAGCACCAGAGGGGTGAGGACGGCTTACATTCGCCTGTCCCGGGTTCTAGGGTGAAGGACAGAGCCTTCCCGACAGTGAGGGGTGGAAACCCTGACTCCTGGATCTGACCCTGGCCACACCTGCCTGCACAGTCCTCATGCAGGAAGCAAGGAGTTTAACAACTGCTAAAAGGGCCACAACGCCAGCCACAGACAGCACCACCACACTTCGCCCCACACACCCCACAGCTAAGATGACAAACGGGAAGCAGGAGCCGGAGGAAACTCCAGCCAAGTGACCCAGAGGGAAGGAGAAAAAGTCTTTCCCTGAATTTTTTTGAGACCGAGTCATCTCACTGTGCAGCCCAGGCTGGTCTCAAACTCTCGGCAATGTTCCTGCCTTAGCTTCCCCAGTGCTGGGATTCTAGGTGGACCACCACACCCAGCCCTTTCAAATATCGTAAGGCAGCTGAAGTCTAAACAAATACATGAAGGAATTAAAGAAGTTATTTTAAATTACAGTCCTAACATTACATGTTAGGACTTCCAAATCATTTCCATTTCCAAATCAATTCCTATTGGTGTCTATACTGACTAATATTCAACATAATGGGAGAATCCACCCTAAAATCCCGTGGGTGGGGCACTATAGTGTTCGCCTATGACCCCAGCACTCAGGAGGCTGAGACAGGAGCATCCTCCTGAGCTCCAGGCCAGCCTGGGCTACACAGTTAGACCCTATCTCAAAATATATATATATATATATATATAAATCCTGTTGGTAGGGACACTGCTCAGAAGCGACCTGAAAACTGCAGCTCCCTGCTCTGCAAGGTCGCTCTGTCTGCAGGCAGCAGGGACAGCGCCCTCCCTGGGCAGGTGAAAGCACTAGGCCAGGCAGACCTAGGAGCAGGGGAGGAGGGAGCCTTGGGGTTGGAGACTGGGGAAGGGGCAGAGGCACAGCTCACAGCGGGTTCCCCACAGCGCGGCAACGCGGAAGCAACCAGGGCAGAAGTCACTTACTGCGCAGGAATTAACTCTGGTCTGCAGAGTGATCCTCTTAGGGTAAAGGGAATGGGCGCAGTGCAAGGACAAAACCAGAACGAGAGAGAGTGAGAGTCTGGAAGCACTGATGTCATGACTGCAAGCGTGCACACACGCATGTACACATGTACCCACACATGTACATGTGCACGCACATGCATGCACACACAGACACAATGCACACGCACAGATGCATGCACACACGCACTGCACACATGCACACACACACACATCCTCAGAGTCACCGTGCAGGACACTGGCGAGGTTCTTTACTCTCCAGTCCCCCCCTCCAAATCTCTCAGTGCTCTTGGTACAAAATGCACCTTCCTGGTGTGGCAGTGCACACCCATGAGCCCATATGGGGAGGCTGAGGCAGGGGGATTGCTCAGAGCGGAATGCCGGCCTGAATTGCACATCGAGACCCTGTCTCACCTCAGACTCACTGACTGTGTCGCCTCACACTGCTGGGCCTGTCTACTGATATTTGTTGAAAAGTTAACCCCGGTGTGGGAGTGGCATTCCCATGCTGGGTATCACGATACGTGAATTTCCAAGAAAATTCCAAATGCACGGTGTCCGGTGACTCCTCATCACCCCAGGAGATACAAGCATTTGTACAGCAGGAAAAGTAAGTTTAGAGGAATATAGCCTTCACAGAGCCTTCCCAGTGCAGCTCGTTTTGAAAATTTTGGGACAAAATGAGAAGTATTTGGCAACTTCAGCGCAGAGGTCTTAGGCTAAGTACAAAGCTCTTGAAAAAACTGGAATGAGAAACAAGATTTTTGTGGACAGTTCTGCAGTACAGCTGATGGTGACCTCACTGTGTGGCCCAGGCTGGCCTTAAACCGTGGCAATCTTCCTGCCTCAGCCTCTCCAGCACTAGAATTACGGATATGCACCACAATGCCCAGCTGGGAATGAAAACATTTAAAACCTGGGGCTGAACACCACCTTGGGGAGCACCAAGGGTTGAGGCAGCAGCACCCAGGGGTGACAACGTCCAGGGAGCAGGAAACAGATATCGGGGGCCAGCAGCTCTTCACCAGCAGCCCTGGCACCCCGAACCCAAAGGGTACTGCCCACTGGCTTGTGATGGGAGGGACAAGCAGGAGTGGAGGCCTGGAACGGGAGGCCAGAGAAAGGAGCCAACTGGGCCCGGAAGGGAAACCAGGGTGTCACACCCTCTACTGTAACAGGCCTGGGTGGCTACACAGGACCCGCCGCCCAGGGGGTGCCAGGAGCAAGGCCATGGGAGCTAAGTCTGCAAGCCAAGGAAAGGCAAGTGGGCAAGGGGCTGGATATCCTCCTCCCCACCCCACTGCCCCCTGGCCTCCTCCTGTTTCTTTTAACTCCCCCCATCCCTGTGGCCTTGGCTCTGGCGGGGCGTGGAACATGCAAAAGCAGCAAAACTGGGGTGGGAAGCTGGACGTGGGGCACACGCCTGTAACCCCAGCAATCAGGAGGCTGAGGCAGGAGGATCGCTGTGAGTACAAGGCCAGCCTGGGCTACAAAGTGAGACCTTGGCTCAGCAAAGCAAGAAATAAAAACATCAAAACCCAAGGTGGCCCAGGCCAGACTGGACTCCCCAAGGCAGGCTCTCAGTTTCAGTGGGACTGCTCACTGGTGCTCAGGAGGCTGCCCTGTGCCCTGTGGGTCCTTCAGCAGCACTGCTGGCCTCTCCACACCAGGGGCCAGCATCTGTGACCCCAGGCTGTCCCCAGACCCGGTCAGGACAAATAAAGGGAGCAGCCTGCCAGGTGCTGGGTGTTACCACTTGGCCTAGGTCCTGCTGAGAGCCTGCCACTGGGAGGAGGCAGAGTGGGAAGCGGCTGGGTGGCAGGGGACCCTTGGAGGCCATGGTCCTCCTGTAAGGAGGGGAAACTGAGGCTTGGTGTGTCTGCTCGGGTGGGCAAGTTGGAAGCTGGGGACTTGCCTTGTCAGGCTGCACGTGGGGGCTGAGGGGCAGTGCTGGACACCCCCAGAACCCACAGCCTCCCTGAGTCCCCACGGGAATTGCCTGCCTCTGGAGCACCATGTTCCAGCCCATGATCCTGCTGGCTGGACAGGGGGACAGAGGCGCCTGGCTCTGCAGAGACCTGCCCGCTGCCTGGGGGCACCCGTCTGCTGATGACCATGTCAGGCGTAGTGCAGCAGACAGGAGAGGGCGTGGACACCATGGGCCAAGCATATAGCTTTACCTTTCCGCTTCTTGGGGGCGCCCAGCTCCCCGGCACTCAGGGAGCTCTCAGACAGCTCGTCCCCATCGGGCTCCAGCAGGCATGGCCGGCTCCACGCTGCCGCTGCCTCCTTGTGCACATCCCAAGGGTCCAGCTCAGGCTCCAGGTGCTCAGGCGCGGCGGGCTCAAGGGCTGGCTCATGCTCAGCAGGCGGGGCAGAGGGTGCAGCTGCCTCCAGGGTGACTGGGGCGGTGGCCACAACAGGGGCCAGGGCGTTCTGCTGGGGGGCACTGTCCATGGAAGCTGCGTAGTCTAACATGAGGGCAGCGTCATGGTCCTGAGAGAGGGAGGTCTGTGGGGAGAGCCAGTGAGTGCCAGGGAAGCCAGGCATTGATCTGCAACACCCCCAGGGCTCGTGTGTGTTTCGGTTAGGACTTGCTGTGCAGTCCAGAATGGCCTTGAGCTCACTGTGTAGCCACAAAAGGTGGAAGCCTTCTGGAGGACAGTAATATGTTCAGAAACCGAAAGTTCCCCAGAACTGGGGGGCCGGGGGCGGGTGACACAGGAAAAGCCCATGTCATGTCTGTTTCCCCCAGCTGCCCACTCCCAGAGCACCTAACCCCTTGCAGAAACCTGCCAACCACCCCCCCATCCCTCGGGGGGACACTGCCGGACATTCGCACCGGGGGCTTTCTGTACCCTGCCACCTCCGCAGAGGAGGACCCTGTCCCCAAGGGGGCCCCCCGCCTGGCGCACCTTGGAGACCCCTGAAATGATGATCGTACTCTTCTTCCGGGGCGACTTGAGCTTCAGCTTCGAGGACTCACTGAGCTGGCGGATGGCGACTTCGGCCACCGGGTCGGATCCATTCAGCACCAACAGTTCTGCGGGGGAAGGGAGGCAGCGTGGGGTTAACAAGGCTCAGTGTTTCATAGAGCCAGGGTGGCGGCCATGCCTGTAATCCCAGCACAGGGCACTGAGGCAGGTGGATCTCGAGGTCAGGGCCAGCCTGGGCTACAGAGCAAGCTCAGGGCCAGAACCGGCTGCCCAGGGGAACCTGCTTCCAACCCCCGCTCAAAGAAGAGAGGGGGCGACAGCCTGCAGCCTGGGGACAGCAAAGCTGAGGCACCGCTAGGTGTCTGACTGGGCACACTGCAGCCACTGCTGCTCTGCTAAAGGCTTTTCCAGGGGAGGTGCGGAGAGAGAGGTGCAGAGTCGGGAAAAGAAAGGCGGAGCCAGGAGGCTGGGAGCTGCAGCTTTGAAAAGCAGCAAATCCAGGCCACGCTGATATTACCAGGCTAGGAACCCCCTCCACCTCCTCAGCCAGGCAGCTCCTTTCCGCCCTCACTGGCTCGCCCCTGGACATCCTGAGGGTCTACAAGGTACACGGTCCAGACCGGGCTGTTCGTTTCTCTGGGGCGGCAGACTGCCGCCCTGACAGCACCACTGCCCACTGCATGGTGCGCACTTGAAGCACATGAGTCTGTCTGTCCGTAGCCACTAAGAGGCACCCTGGCCACCAGGAAAGGGACACCAGGTAAATGAAAAGCGGTGCAAACACAGACAGCCCACATCATCCTTCTAAGGGGATCCCGAGACCATGAAACCCACACCCCCAGCCTCAGTGTGTGCCTGCCTGACGCCGGCATTTTTCCTCTGGGTGTGGGCTTGGCTCTGCCCAACAGATCTGCTTGAGGATGCAGAGAGCGCCTTTTACGGTTTTGGATCTTTGAGACAGGGTCTCACTATGTAGTTCAGACTGGCCTTGAACTCACTGCGTAGCCCAAACTGGAGCCAAATTTGTGGAGATCCTCCTGCTTCAGCCTTCCAAGTGCTGGGATGTCAGGCTGATGCTGCCACACCTGGCTCCACCAATTGTTAAAAATCAAAACCTTTCCCCCAAAAGGAGCCATATTCCAGGCAAGGGAGATTTCCGACCTGCGAGGACGGGCGGAGACTGCAGCCCAGGCTCTCCCCTACCTGTGTCGGAAGAGGACAGCGTTTTGCTGACGGTTGCACCATGGCACGCAATGGCCTGCACAGAGATGTCCTTCTCGATAACTTTCACCTTGACGGGCGTCCTCACAGGAGACTCTGCCAGGGACAGACTTGGTTACCATGGCAGCCAGGCTGCTCCACCAGGCTCCGGAAAAGGACACAGCCTGGTGCTCGAAGGGCCTAGTAAAGGCCAGGGCTTCCTGATTTAGGGCTTTGGTTTTGGTTTGGTTTGGTGCTTTGAGGCCAAGTCTCACTATGTAGTCCAGCCTGGCCTGGAAATCTTGACAATTTTCCTGCCTCAGTCTCCCAAGTGCTGGTCTTATAAGAGTGCGCCACCACGCGCTCTGCCAGGTGACTTTCAACCCGGGAAAGTCTACACAGGCTGCCTGGTGTCGCCGAGCAGGAGCTGGAGCATTTAACTTAGTTCAGAAGCAGCTGGCCGCACTGGCTCTGAATACACTGCAAGCCAGGGTCAGTCATTCCCCCTTCCAGTGTCTCCTACAGATGCTAAAGGACCCTGGCCCGCCCCCAGGCCCCTCACTGAAGTCCAGCAGGCCCCACAGCTCACCTGACGCCCTCCCCGCGTCCACTCGAGGCTTGGTCTTCACGGCAGTGACGGTGGTGACCACAGTGCCGCAGGGCATCACAGTGCGATCCTTTTCTACCGTGGCAGCTGGAGCGGGCAGCGGGGCCGGTGGGGCTCTGGGCTCTCCAGGTTCTATGTAAGAGAACTGTGGGGGGCGGTCAGCGGCTCTGAGTATGCTCACCCCTGGTGCCCCAGTCGCCCCAGTCCCTGGGTTCCGGGACACGCCCCCCCCCCAGCAGTAGCAAAGTCCTCATAAACCGGGAACTGTTTGGGCACAGCCTCCTTCATGCCCTTAAACTCGTGCTGGGGCCCAAGGCGCCTTTCAGCTTGGGGCCCTCCTGATTCAGCCTCCAAGAGACAGGGACCCCTGGAGTGGCAAACCTGCCTGGCCCCTCCTGGACTTCAAATCATCTCTAGGTCACTTCTCACACGGAACCATGTGAGTGCTACATGGACCACTGTGTTCTGGTGTGGTTTGGGAACAATAGCAAGAGGAATATCAGGGTTCAGCACAGACACAGCTTTCTGGGGAGGGAGTGCTTGATGGCACGGCACACCCTTTCTGTACCCTGGGCCACTTCATTTCCCAGTGCACATGGATTTGCCAACTGTCACAGAATCCTGGCCAAAACACGGGCTCATGTGGCTGTGGGCATCATGCTGGAGATCATGCACTGGGCTGGGTGTGCAGTGTGGTACCCCAGAGCAGCTCAGCAGTCCCAGGCCACCCCAGGCCGAGCCAGGAGAACCCGATCCTGTCTCCAGGTGCAGGCCAGAACAGCCCCCCCTGCTGGGTAGATGTGCACATCACACTGAGGCCACAGAGCCTGGCGGGCAGGATGGAGGGGACCAAACTGTACCTCTGCAGTGACTGAGCCCAGCACCATGCTGCCCGGGCCCGGAGCGCTGGTCAGCGTGAAACTCCGTGGTCCGGAGGGCTGCTTCCTAAACAAGTCCAGTGGAACAACCGCTACCGCCAGGGACCCTAAGGATGAGAAGACCAGGTGTCGCTGATGATGTCAGGGGCTCCAGGGCACACCCTGGGGGGCAGAAGGGGACCCCACGAGCTGAGAGTCACCAAAGACAAGGACAGGCTGCAGGGATGGTCAGACAGCAGACAGCCCCGCACGGGGACAGCCAGAGGCCCTGTGTCCACTCATGAAAACCAGATGGACAGCAGAGCACTGTCGATCAGGAAACCACACTCAGGAAACTGAGGCAGGAAGATCCCTGCAAGTTCAAGGCCAGTCTCAACTGCATAGCAGGGCCTGTCTCAAACAACAAATAATGCTTTAAAAGGACAATTTTATTCTCAGGAAACAGACACTGGAGAAGACAGATGGGAAGGGCCACATATTGCAGTCTCCCTAAATGGCGTGTGCGTGTGTGTCTATGAAGGGGGAAGAGTATCTGGGGGAGGGAGACAGAGAGGGCACACCTGACTGAGTGTGGGAACAGGCTCAGGGAATGGGGCAAACACTGAAGGTGTGTGGGTGCCGGCATGGGTCACAGGGTGTTCTTTATCATGCGTTTTTTTTTTTGTTTTTTTTTTTTTTTTTTTTTTTTGGTCTTTCTGAGACAGGATTTCTATGCAGTTCGGTCAGGCCTTGAGCTCACTTTGTAGCCCAGGCTGGCCTCAAACTCAAGCGATCCTTCTGCCTCAGCCTCCCAGTGCTGAGATTACAGGCATTTGCCACCACATCCAGTCCTTTGCCCTGCTTTTGTACATCTGGCTCTTACAGGTCCCTCCAGGATCATCTGGAATGGGCCAAGGAGATGAGGATTGAGCTCCTATCTACTTAACTGTGGCCCCACCTGGGGCATCCCTGGCACAGTCTTGGGATGTGTTAGTCTTTTCCTCTTGACCAACCCCATCATCTCACAGCTGCAGAATCAAGGATACTACATTGGGGTTCCTGCTGATAACTAGGACCTGACTAGCTGGAGAAAGAAGTGTCTCTTGACCCCTGGAGGTCACCTAAGACTTGCCGAGATGGCAGGGTAAGCTGGGTGGCATTTCCCCTGCAAATCATGACCCTGAGTGCAACTCAGTGGCACAGCACTTGCCTAGCATGTGTGAGGCCCTGGGCTCCACCTCCAGCATGGCAAAAAATGAAAATAAAAATAAGTCTCATAAATATTGAAACTACAGCCAGGCCTATGTCCACAGGAGGCTGAGGCAGGAGGCTTGCCATAAGTTAGAGGCCAACCTGGGCTACACAGCCAGACCTTGTCTCAAAAACAAAAAAACAAACTCTTGACTCCTTCGGGCACGGGCTCAAGCTCCAGTTCACCACAGCGCTGACCTTGAATTTTGGGTTCTGAGTCATGTGGTCAGCAGCAGCCGCACCAGCTTATCTGCAGAGCAAAGGCAGCGGAGAGCGCAGAGGCTGGTGCTGGGTGGGGAGTGGTGGTGTGGGGCACGGCAGGGGTCGAGGACAGGGGACACGGCAGGGGCCGAGGACAGAGCCCCACTCTGGGAAGCAGAGCTAGGTTTGTGGGGAAGGGTGGCCCCAGCCAGGTGCAGAACGTCACTGAGCTGGGCACTCGGGCTCGGGCAGGATGGTACATTTTTTTATTCTGTGCTTTTACTGAAATTAAAAATTGAAAATCGAGGCGAGTTCGCAAGCGCCTGGAACTGCCTGCCTAAGCAAGACCTGGTGAATGAAAGCTCTTAGGGTATTAAAAAAAACATCAGATCAGCCTTCTCCACAGCCTGTGACGCTGTTAATCACGAAAATGGCTTGGGACCCAGGCGTCCTCAGGCTGGGTGCTGTGGCTCGGAGAAGGGGGCATCTGCTCTGTCCCCTACCCTGGCCTGCTCCCTGAGCTCCCTGCAGGGTGGCCCCCCATGGCTCCCCACCCACCTTCCGAGGGCCGTCCCTCCTCCTTGATCAGCAGGTGCAGCTCCCGGGACCTGGCGTTGAGCTCACTGTGAAGAGGACAGAGCCATGAGACCGGACTCGAGGGCTGTGGGTTCCTTTGAGACACTCCGGGATCCAAATGCACCTCAAGGGTGTAGGACAGTAACAGGGGCGGCGCCATGAATCCCTCACAGTCCTCCTCCGAGCTTAGAACATGCACACCCATCGCCCTGGCTGCTGCCCGCAGCAACTCTGGAGCTCCTTCCTGAGGATTTTTATGAGGCGTGGTCCAAAAGACAGTGCCTGCTGTGCCCAGCGCCATCCAGTGGAAAGGCAGCTCCTAAAAACACGCCACCCTGTCTTGCTCCGCCTTAGTCACCAGATCTGGCACTGTGGGACTTGCGGTCCTTCCCAAAGTCAAAGTCACCGGGAAAGGGAGACGTTTTGAACCCGCTGAGGACTTCAAGGCAACCAGGAGAGCACGGCTTCAAGACCCTCAGGAAAGAGGACTCCAGAGCTGCTGCAGAAGGTGGTGGGGACAATGGACCGGTGTGCTCAGAGCAAAGGGACAGACTTTGAGGGGAGTCACAGCACTGTGTCTTTTACTGAAATGCACTTTTAAAAAACTTCTAGACATCCACTGCGTTTTCAAACCACAGCCTGTGTGCTTCTGCTTGTCCACAGCGAAGACACTGGTGGAGACATATTACCAAAAACAAGGGCAGGGGGGGGCCTATGACGGCATCACCCAGAAGGTCACCAACTCCCTGGTGAGCAGCCTTCCAGTGCTGGTGCCAGAACTCACCTGCTGTGATGCTGGCTGCTGGTGACAGGGCGTAGCTGTCCACTCCGCAGCCGCGGGGCCCCAGAGATGCAGCCAGCATGCCCATCAGGACTGGGTTTTGCCATGTGTAACTTTTATTCACTTAAATCTAAAGGCCACCTGTGGGGGTGGCTACCCTGATTATCTAATGATGCCTTCTGGTCCTTCCGGGTAGCTCTATCCACTTAGCGGCCAGAGAGGCCTGCAGGGAAGTCCCACCTCCAGGAGGGTCCAGGGCTTCATAGTTCGGCATCATGAGATTGCCAGCCCCTGGTCTCGGGTTGGTTTCTGGATTTCTAGGTTTTTCCCAGTCCTGGGCCGGCCAAAGGGAAGCTCCGGGCATAGTGGCATCGCCAGCCTCGAGGCACAGGGGTGATGCAGCTGCCAGCCCTGGAGTCTACATCACCTCACCTGGGTCGAAACGGAGCTTCCTGCCAGGTGCTCACGGCCACCTCTAATCCCTGCCTTCAAGACTGCCCAGGCTTCCACAGCAGCGTTCCCGGTTTCACTGGTGCTGAGATTCACAGCTCCCTGACACTGTCTTTCCCCGGCTTTTATAACTCCACTGTCTGGGCATCCCAAAGCGGGGTGGGGGTCAGCTACCGGACTGTACTGCTGTTGCTATTTGACCATCTGACAGGACTTGTTTCCCGCCTGGCTCTGCTATGGTTTCCGCTGACCGCCTCGAGTGTTCCAGATAGGCAATAAAATCCCCTCTGAGAGAGAAGGACTTCACCCGTCATTTCTGGCATTCATTCCTCGCCTTCTTTCTTATGTAACCACAAGAGGACAAAACAGTGGGCTCCTTCTCTCTCTGCCCCGGGCTTCCGGTTCTCAGTGTGTTTCAAAAATCTTATTGATTTATTTACTTATTGTCTTTCTGAGATGAGGTCTCGCTATGCAGTCCAGGCTGGCCTTGAGCTCACTTGGTAACCCAGGCTGGCCTCAAATTTGCAGTGATCCTCCTGCCTCAGGCTCCCAAGTGCTGGGATCACAGGCGTGCACCCCCATGCCCGGCTCCGTAAGTCTTATCAAAGAAACGTCCGTCAATTTTGTCCCCATTATGTTTCTAAAAATGAGGCATGGACACTGGTTGTCACGTGTGGGAGATAGCAGATGTCCTCTGTCCACGTCCTCACTAGGAGAGCGCCCACGTGACCTCGGAGCTGCCCGGCCTTCTCTCGGGGTCATTTCCTTAGGGCTCAGACGGCCACTATGTGTCAGTGGTTCCCATCTCCCCCTTTACTCTGTAGGATTTCGGCAGCGGTTGGCAGTTCCTTTGGGTGACTGAGCTTCTAGGGGGAGGAGGGACCCCAGACCTCTCCCTCCTGTCACCACAGGACAAGAGGAGGGGACGGAAGCTAGGCTGCCAGAGAGAGAATCCTGCCTAGCTTACAACACCTTCCAGCTGCCAGGACGCTTTGCTTCCTCTAAGGTAATGTTCCGCTTAAGCGGTGCGGCACAGTAACAGGGCTATGGCTGTCCTGCACAGACCTGGCTGGGGAAACCTGGCTGGAACTGCTGGGACGTACTCACAAGGTGAATTCTTCCTCCCAGGAGAGGTCAGCACTGGTCCTCGATGGGGAGCTGGCGAAGCCTTGGGCAGGGTCGTTCAGCCGCGCGGTGCACACAGGGCCAGGGCCACCTGCAAGCACAGGGAGCCTCTGGCTGCCCGCTTTGACTGCAGTCACCTTCAGCGTCGCTGCTCAAAGCCCAGGCAGAGTGCAAGTCCCGCTCCCGAGAGCCCTTCCTTGCCTTCATTTGCCATGGACAGAAAGGCGCAAAGCACCAACTTCTCAGGCTGCAGGAGTTCTCCCTGCCTGCCAGCCAAAGCCCTGCACTGACCCCAAGTGGCCCTGCCACTGCACCAGCCTGTACCGTAGGAGGGACATCCAGCTGGGGACCGTGCCCAGAAAGCAGCACCACTGTGTGACACCCCCATCACCTCACAGAGAACTTTTCCCTTCTGCCACAGCTGTCCGGGCCTTTGTGCCTGACCGGACTCAAAGTCCCTTCGGGCAGCAGGTGTGGGCAACAGGCAGGCAGCTCACAGCTGTTCCAGCTTCAAGACAATGCTGCCCCTGCGACACCAAATCTCAGAAACCACAAGGACGTCTCCCGGGCCACGTCACCCCCAACTTCCACAGTCGCCTGCACACTGGGACCCGGAGACCTGGACAGGGGTCACCCTGGCACAGACAGTGCCTGCAGGCAGCCTGCTCAGCAGTCACACAGTGAGGGCCTGAAGGGCCACGCTCACACTGCCACTCAAAGACTCACCCACGGAGAGGGCCTTGAAAGCCTGGGAGTTGGACTGGCCTTTGTACGGTTGGGTCCAGAGGAAAATAGAGACAGGCGGCCCTGGGGTCCTCAGACAGGTCCACGTGCCTGTCCTGGGGCAGTAGCCACGGTGCACAGTGCCAGTGTCTCCAGGGAGCCCGTGGCCCTGATGCCTGGCCGTGGTCAACACGTTGGGGGGGGACGACAAGGCAGAGTGCACACTGCCCAGGGCCTCTTCACAGAGTGGGGCCAGGAGGGAATTAAGAGAAAGGAAGAAGAGGAGGCACAGGAGGAGACACTCAGCTAGAAAGGAGGAGCTGGCCGCCACCAAGACGAGAGTTTATGGGACATGTGTCACATTTGCACACACATGTGCAATGTGCAGGCATCAGAGCAGGCCCGGGTGTGGGCTGTCACCTCACACACATCTACTCCTTTGCATGGGCACACGTGGAGGCCCTTTGGGGATGTCGGGGCCAGTTGCAGTCCTGGGCAGAGGCTGGGCAGAGTCCCTGTCCCTGCCCTGTGCACTGCCCCCCCACCAAGGTCCCATCACCACTGCGCACTGCAGGTGCCTGGTTTCCAGTGGAGGTGGGGGCTGGGTTCCCCGTCCCAGGGCAGCACCCACCTGAGGTCCTCACGTGGCTAAGCAGTGAGGCGCGGATGTTCTTCACCTGCAGCCGCAGCTCGTGCGCCCGAGGCGGCTTGGGGGGGCAGCAGTCCTGCGCGGGCGGGGCACGAGGCAGACTCTGTGGAGATAGAAGCGAGGAGGGACGGTGTGGGGAGGCCGCGGACTGGAGGAGCCATCAACCCAGTATGGGAGGGGAACTGGCTGTGGCCTTGGCCAGCATGCGGCTCCTCTCCTGGTGGGCAGGGCACCAGGGCTCTCACCCTGTGCCCCCGGGGAGCTGCGCCCCCAAACAGCCAGCATGTGAGGTGTGCACCGGGCAGCAACCTTTGGGTGGACACCAGGATGGATGTGAGCTGCACTCTGACTCAGGATAGTCGCTTGAGGTGGCAAGGCCTCCTGTGCGGGCTGCAGGACACCCCACCTCCAGGCAGAGCCCGGCATCCAGTAAGGGCTGCAAGTGTGCCTGGTGAGCACAGCTGGGACTTGCCTCGTCCATGTCCTGTCCTCAGAGAGACAGAGGGGGCTGCTGTCAGCAGTCGCCCAACTCTGGACCCCTCATGGGCCAGTGTGTCCCAAGCCAGCCTCTGCCTTGTTCTCTTGCCACCAACAGGGGACCTTCGGGCCTCTATCTGCCCAACTGGAGCCTCACTAACGAGGCAGGGACACCTCTGCTCTGTGTGGCTCTGTCTAGCAGACGCTGCTCTGAGCCAGGGGCTTCCCAGTGGGGCGCCCAGGGTGGGAAGGCCAGGAAGGGACAGAGTCACCCAGTGCCTCTCTAGCGCCCGGGCCTCAGTCTGGGACTGAAACCAGCTGTATCAGGGCCCAAGGTCACAGGAGCCAATGCCTTCAGCTAAAGAAGCCTCCTTTCATCCCCGTGGGCTGCACGCCCTGGCATGCAGGGAGAGAAGGGCAGGTTTATTACAGATGGCACTGCCTCTGTGCTGGTTTGGGCCCTTTTATTTTCTGAGTGACAGATTTAAAGCTACACTACGTGTGAACCTCCTCACTCTTTGACATCCGCATTTATCTTCGATGAGTCCTCTCCAATCTGGTGGCACCGCCCTGGCCAAGCCCAAAAGCCCAGAGCCTGTGCTTCACGGGTCAGGGAGCCTCACCTGGGGTGGGGGAGAGGCTCCAACTGCGCCCCCGCGCTGCACACAGAAAAGCCAGGGACTCCAAGCACCAGCGCTTGTTACCTCCGACCGGGCAGATTCACCCGGCGAGGGCGCCTGGGTCGCTTATGCCGGGTCCCCAACCTTTTCTGCACCGGGGACCAGTTTCTCGGAAGACGGTTTTGCAGGAAGCGGGTGGAGATCGTCGAAAGGACTTTAGTACTCGGGGGGCATTTGGATCTCGCGGAGGGTGCGCACGTTGGACTCTGGGCACACGCGGGTCACGCGAGGGTGCGCGCTGCTGTGGGAACCGAAGGTCCCGCGGACCCGACGGGGAGCAGCCCCGCGCAGCCGCGCTGACCGCCCCGTCCCAAGCCCCGGCCGCTGCTCACCTGCGCCTCCTGCTGGCCGGCGGGCCTGGTGCTCAGGACCACGGCCGGCGCCGCGGGGCCCGCCAGGCGCCTAAGCACGTCCCGGAGCGCATCGCACGCGGCCTCTTGCGCCACCATCAGCTCCTGTGCGAGGCAGGGGTCATCAGTCACCAGCCACCCACGCCCAGGCTACCTGACCGCACTTCAAGGCTCCCTCGGCCCCCGGCCTGAAGGAAGCCACCCCGATGCCAGAGCTGCACTGCTGTCCCAGGGACCCTGGCCAGGTTGGACAGAGCACCTCCTGCCCGCAGCTGGGCACCTACTGACTTTAGAAACCACTGGGTCAAGCGGTGCACACTGTGGTCCCAGCACCCTGGGAGGCTGAGGCAGCCTGATTCCTGAACTACTTAGCAAGACGCTATCCTCAAGTGGGAAAGTACCAGAAAGGGGCTGGGCGGGGGAAGGGTGGCCCTCCCTGCAAAGACCCCAGGCTCAGTCCCCACTGTGTATGGGGGAGTCACATACATTTGTCACTAAAAATAAGTGAGTAACCATAAACAGATATGAAGTTCCACACTGAAGGGCCAGTAGGAACAAAGACTACACTAAGGTCCCCACATTTCCCTCTCAGTGTCCTCAAATCACACACATGCAGGTTTCTCACTTGGAAGCTGCGACTTCTGAAAACAACAAAGTGTGTAAGGACTGCAAAGAACCAGGAAGGACCAGGCAGCCTGAGAAGAGAAGCAAGCAGGGCCAGGACTGGCAGCCCAGGAGAGTAGACCCAGCCTCGTGGAATGCGGGCCTGTGTTTGTGGAGGGCCTGGTGTCACTGAGGTCAGAAGGGCCTCCAGGTGAGGGCTGCCAAAGTCACTGGCAGAAACCTGTCTTGAAATCTGAATTCCCCCCAGAAAACTGTAAAAAAAGAAAGAAAGAAAGAAAGAAAGAAAGAAAGAAAGAAAGAAAGAAAGAAAACCGGGCATGGTCGGGCACACCTGGAATCCCAGCAGCCTGGGAGGCTGAGGCAGGAGGATTGCTATAAGTTTAAGGCCAGCCTGGGCTACAGAGTGAAATCCTGGGGGGGGGGAGGTCCAAAACCATGTGCTGGTGTTAGGGGCAGGACCAGCACTTCAGGAAAGGTATCCCAGAGAGCTCTGTCACCCCTGGTACCAGAAGGAACAGAGCCGGCCCAGGCCTTGGTGACAGCCACATGCCCTGTGCTGACTCCAGACCTTAGAAACAGAGGTGGCAGACACTGCTTCCGGCTGCTGGGTGTGCGGGGCTGCTATGCTGCCCAGCTGACTCCCCAGGCGAGAGTTTCAGTCCTGATGGGCTGGGGCTGCACAGAGGGTTAAAGTGAGTCTCCCCAGGGCTAAGCTGGGCACTAGGTTCTGGGTACCAGCTACTGGGCAGCTGAGGCCAGAGGATTCCAAGTGTGAGACCAGGCTGAGCAAACTTAGCAAGACCCCGTCTCAAAAAACAGGAGGTGGGATGTGGGTCAGCCCAGCATGTACAGGGCCTGACCTCCGCAAGGTCTGCTGCGAATGGCAGGAGGGAGGGCCCAGCGTTCAGCTGCTCTGTGCAGACTACAGGCCAAACAGACACACAGGAAAAGGTGAGGGGAGATGGGACTGAACAGGGTACATGGGGGAATCTTAACTCCCGCACTTCATGGAAGCAAAACCTGCCAGGGTGAGAGAGCAACTCTGCTGTGTGCACCTCCGAGGAGTTAGCTCAGGACACAAGGCCAGCAGACAAGGTGGCCCCGTCCTTACAGTGGGGCGCGGAGGGCCCCAAAGTTATCAACATTTCATTATATTCCCCACCGCCAACTGTGCCCTTCTGTGGAGTCCACCATGGCCTCACAGAGCAAAATGACCAGGCAACGTGCAGCCACCAGAAGGGACCCCTGAGGCCGAACCTGTGCTCTAAGGCCCTACACGAACTTCCCGCCACCTCGAGCCCCCCCGGGCCCCGGGTTCTGACCTCCAAGTCCTGGGACCCCACAAGGGGATTTTAGGAGTACGCTTGCTCCTCAGACAGCAGCCTTGGGACCCTGCCTGACCTCCATGAGGTGTCTTCGCCATGACAAGGGTGACCAGGGACCTCCCATCACCTGACCCCGGGGTCTCAGCCAGCGACACTTGACTGCATAACACCCTCAGCCCCTGAAGCCTGCAGCCAGTTTGGGGTCAGGTTTGCTGAGCTTCAGAAGCAGCCAGGTAACTCCAGGTGCTGCTTCGGGGAGAGCTGGGCACCAAGTCCATGAATGCTGTGTCCTTGGGGATGACCTCTCTCAGGTACCCCAGGCCAGCCTGGGGGAGAAGGGAAGAGGCTGAATGTCTGTCTCTGGCACACAGGTCTCGCACACCCAGGCAAGGATCACAGAACCAACCCACCTCACCCGGGGCACGGGGCCAGATCTGCAGGGCTGTATCTGGCATGTCCACCAACGACCAGCGGATGTGGATGTCCTCCCTCTTGTCCTTCATGTGGAACTCCAGCTAGCGGAAAAGAGACAGGAAATGGTCACTGGACAGCAGCTCTGCTGCCAGTGCCTAAGGGACCTCATGCTGCAGTGGGTGCAGCACACGTGTGCTGTGTGTGTGTGCACGGGTTATGTGTGCATTGTTGTGTGTGTGTGCACACATGCTGTGTGTGTGCTTTTACTCATTTATCTGCTGTGACAATTGCTCAGCTTCTACCTCTGCCTGCCGTGAGCTTTCAGAGGGGACAGGAGGAGCTCTTCCCCCTCCTTGCCTCCTGCCCCAGCCCCCGTCCCAGCCTCGGTCCTGGGGGATGAGGGCCAAGGGTCCTAATACCCTGCAGTCTCTCTTCAGTAAGCAGTCAGCAGTGGCTCGAATTTCTCTTCCTGGTGTGTTGCAGAGGCACAGCAGAGAGGAGTGTGGAGGAGCAGGATGCCCAGCCTGCCCCTGGACTGCAGACCCAGAGTGGGACATCTAGCTTGCTAAAAACTGTGGGGTGCAGGACCACGTGGACGTGGATACAGGATACATCTGGAAGCCAACTCAGTGCATTCCTGAGAGGGGTGCTCTGGGGTGGAGTCGGGGGTCAGGATGAGTATTTCAGGAAAAAGTCACTTAGGGTCCAGGAAGTTTCCATGCAGCTGGTTATTTAAAATCACGTCTCTCTAAGCAAAGCAGAGGGAACTGAGCTTGGTGGAGCTACCTAGAAACCCAGTACTCTGGAAGGCTGAGGCAGGAGGCTCACAAGTTTAAGCCCAGTGTGGGCAATTTAGCGAGACCTTGTCTCTAAATACAAAATAAAAAGGGTTGGTGAGGGAGCTCTGTGTAAAACGCTAGATTCAGTTCCCAAAACAAAGGAATTCCATCCCACTCTGTGGTAGGATTCTGTGTACATAACCCATCCTCAGTATTAGTGGCTGGGGGTGAGGATGGGAGCAGTGGAACACAGGGTGAATCGGCAGTGACCTCCGAAATAGAACCAGAAATTCCCAGCTTTCCAGCACCCAACAGAAGGCCGCTCCAGGGAGCGGTTTCCATACAGTGAGAGGGCCGCACCCCTCGTCTCCTATAACAACCATGGGCCTGGGTCTCTCTTGATGAAATTATAAACACTCCATATAGGAGCCTTCTCAGAGACTCATCTCAGGAAAATCACAGTAATACCAATCTTTCAACTTACAGTAAAGATGCCAAGCATGGTGCACACATTTGTCATCCCAGTACTTGGGAGGCTGAGGCAGGAGTAACACATGTTCGAGGCCAGCTTGGGCTACACAGTGAGCCACTGTCTCATAAACAAAAACACTAGCCCAGAAACAAAAACAAACAATGTGGAAGCCTGGGGTTTGGATCCTTTCCAGCCGTGCTGATTCATGAAAGTGCAGGCATCCTGAATGTGACTGGTGTCCACACCCATGAGAAGCCCCGCTGGGGAGGGTGGTGTCTCCTCCCCCGACTTGCTAGGTCTCCCCAGCCTTACCTGCAGGTGCACTGGAGCCAGCCGCACGTCACACAGCTGCCATTCCATGTCCCCAGCCGAGGCCAGCCCCACGCTGACCAGGAACTGCAGAGCCTCCCCTGCCACATAACAGGTCACCACCTGGGGGAGGGCAGGGTGACAGGTGAGAAGCCAGGCATCCAGACAGCGCCTGCCAGCCATGAGCGAGATATCAGACACTAGCCAGCAAGGACACCGATTTGGGTGTCAGGCTCGGACAATCAGCTTGCCCATTACGTGGCCACTCGAAACCCAGCAGGCCCTTGCTTCCCGAGGGACTGTCTAGGGGCGGGGCCTGTCCCTCCCAGAGGGAGCTGTCCTGCTGCTCCACGACACACTGGCCTGGACATCCATCGCTTTCAGTGCGTCCCACCACAGCTGATTGTAAACATCTCCAGGGGCTGGGGATACAGCTCAGTGGCCTAAGCCCCTGCCTGGCAATCACATGGTCCTGAGTTCAGTTCTCAGTACCAAAGAACGAAAGAAAACCGGGCTGAAGATTTAGCTTAGCAGCATAAGCGCCTGCCTTGCAAGCATGCAGATGTGAGTTTGATCCCCGGTACACAAACAAATAAATAAATAAAACCTCAGTAAGCATTTCCACACTCACACACAGCAAGCACCACCATCACCTCCCAGCGCCAAAGCCTCAAGGCCCTTATATAGATCGTAAGCCATGAATGCTACACGCGACAAACACTTCATAGTTCACCTGAAACACAAGGGAACGTGAGCTTCTAAAAAAGTGGGAGTAATGCAAGTTATGAAATATTAAATGGTTAAAAAGTTCACATCCATAGTAGAAATGGCCCTATTTTATACAATAGAAAGCTAGCCAGGTAGGATGGCGCACACCTGGGATCCCAGCACCCTGGAGGCTGAGGTAGGAGGATCTTGGCGAGTTCTGGACCAGCCTGGGCCACAGCAGTGAGTGTGAGGTCAGCCTGAACTGTACAGAGAGGCTCTGGTCTCAAAAAAACAACAAAATCAGAAACACAAACATTAAAAGACAGGCCAGTAATTACCCTCGAGCAAACCCCACTCTAATCCTCTTAAAGCAGTTTACAGCGCTGGTTTTCCTGGCTGTCACACAGAGGGCGGTGTGGCCTCTGCCAGCCTTGCTCCTGGGGGTCAACTATCCTAGGGGCCCCAAGGGCCAGGGAGCCTGGGGCTGGGTCGTGGCACTGCCGGGCCAGGTGCCAGGTGTGTCTGAGCCAGGTGGACACGGAGAGCCCAGCCGGTGGCTGATGTGTCCATCCTAGGCCAGACCCTTGGGAGGCTGGGGCCACATGGGAAGGCCAGACAGCAGCTCCCCAAGGGCCCCGCTGGCCGCCGCTGGAGCTCACTGGGAAGGAAGGGAAATTCTTGAATTCTCCGGTGGATTCATCAGAATCTAAAACGCCAAGTGGAAAGATTTCCAAAATAACTGTCCGCCGAGCTGTGCTCAGAGCGAGGCCTCCCTGTCCTGTGGTCCTGGGCTCCCAGGGCCGTGCACACCCCCAGCCCGGCTCCGGCTCGGCCCCCTCCCTGCTCCAAGATGCCTGAGATGGCCACTCCGCGTCACACAGATCTAGGAAGCAACGTCCACCTGCCAACCTTGGTGAAAGTTGCACAACTCCGGTCTCCCCTGCCTCTACTGTCTGGAGCCTGATGCCCAGGGACTCAGCCTCGAGGTCCACAAGGGCTGGGACCAAGGACCTCTGGATAAGAAAAGTTGCCTATTCGTGTTAAAAATAACCACTCCACAAGCGAGGGCTGGTGGCGCATTCCTGTCATCCCAGCACTTGGGAAGCTCAGGCAGGAGAATCCTTTGCAAGTTTGAGACCAGTCTGGGCTACACAGTGAGCCCAAGGCCAGCCTGAACTGCATAGAGAGACCCTGTCTCAAACACACACACACACACACACACACACACACACACACACACACACACACACACGAACGCGCTCCAGGAACAGTGCTCTCTGGAGCAGATGAGCCACAGCTGGTTTCCTGTCTTGCAGCCTGGACCTTTCACTGCTTCCAATGCTTAAAAGTAAAACATTCAGGCCTCCGTGTGACTCTGCTACCTCTCTGGAAACTTCCACCCTATGTCACCCAGAAAATGACTATGAAGGCCAGGGTTCAGGGCACATGACTATAATCTCAGGGCTCTGGGAGGCTGAGGGAGGAGAATCACAAGTTCAAGTGCACCCTGGGTAATTCAGCAAGACTCTGTCTCAAAATAAAAACCAAAAAAGTCTTAGGGTGCAGCTGAGCAGGAAGCCCCAGCACATGCCCCAGCACAGGGCACACAGAGAAATTTACTAAGATAGACAACTTTTTGAGTGCTTTGATTCAAGCAAGAAATTCTGGTCTTCCTTAATATCTGGCCTAAATGAAAGCCTCCGCAGCCAGGCATAGTCAAACACACCCATGATACCTGTGTTTGGGAGGCTGAGGCAGGAGGATCGCTGTGAGTTGGAGGCCAGCCTGGTATACAGACTGAGTTTGAGGCTCCCTGAACCACACAGTGAGACCCTGGACCAAAAAGACAACAAAACCACTTCCCCAGCACAGCAGTGCTGGGCCTGCAGACCTGGAGGGCTTGATTGAAAGCAAACACAGGATAGGTCCGCAGCCAGGCAGCTTGGCAGTTAGAGCTGGGTTCCTCCAACGGGGGGCAGGCCCGTCAGCCCCACCCCATCTTGGCTGGAAAGCCCTTTCCTTTCCACATCGCTGATCCCAGGAACATTGCCAGGCCCAGGCACCACAGTGCCCCAGCTACCACTCGCAAGGGTCCACCAAAAGGAGGCTTCCCTGGTCTGCTCAGGTCTTTAGTGTACAAAGCATTTTCCACGGTGAGGACCAGATTCCCCCAGCACACACAGGGACACACACAGGGATGGGGCTGAGTGCTGGGAGAGGGTCCCGGCACCTGCCAGCTCAGTCGCCCTTCCAACTGGCCAGGCCCTACACAGCCAGAGCGCAGGGGCCAACAGCCAACTCCTCTGGAGAACGCTGGGACCCTGACCTTGGCCTCCTCAGACACAGCAGCTTCCCAGGAAGCCCTTCTTGCTGGGTGTGGTGGCACACACTTACTGTTCCAGCACTGGGGAGGCTGAGGCAGGAGGATCACCATGAATTCAACTCCAGCCGAGGCTACAGAGGAGCCATCTTCCTCTTGGGAAAGTGCTGTCTTGGGAAGGACTAGCCCGGGACCCTCCTCACTTTTCAGTCTTGAGACAGGGTCTCACTGTGTAGCTCAGGCCAGCCTCAAACTCATGGAGATCCTCCTGCCTTAGCCTCCCAGGTGCTGGGATAACAGGCCTGCACCACCACGCCCAGCTTGAGATATATCTGCTCTAGCACACAGGCCCCTGGGTTTAAGAAACAAAAGCCAGTAAGGCTAAATATCACCAAAACCCCTGCTAGGCTAGCCTGAGGTGCCCGGGAAGAGGTGCACAGTTGAAGTCATCGTGGCTGAGACCAAAGAGGCTGGAAACAGAACAGCTGCCCGCCCCGAGGCACGCTGGGTAGCAGCTGCACAGGTGCCCAAGACTCCCCGCTCCTGACTCCAGCCCCATCCCGGCCTCCCTTCCTACCCCTGACTCGGACACTCCACAAGGACCAGAAGGGCTGGGGCGTAGCTTGGTGGTGGAGGGCCTGCCTAGCACGTGTTAGGGGCTGGGCTCTGTCCCCAGTACCAGGTGGAAATAAAACAAAATAAATGACAAGCGAAGGGGTTTCCTGTACTCTTGTGCTAGGGCAAGAGGGCTGAGAAGGTGGTGGTGCAACTGTTACCGAGTGCGATCCATGGCTATGTGTTCTCTTTCACCAACCCAGCGTGGACAGAGAGATGACATTCCCTTTAAAATGAAGGCAGGGCCAGATGTGGTGACAGTGCCTGTGACTCCAGTATTCGGGGGGCTGAGGCAGGAGGATTGCTGGGATTTTCAGGTCAGTGTGGGCCACCTAGCAAGGCCCTGTCTCAAAAAAACAAAAAAAGCCAGGTGGGGAGGGGACTGAGACATTTCTCAGTTTCTACCTAGTGCTTCCCACCTAGGGACAGGTCACCTGTCACAGCTGCCACTAACGTTCTGGGCTCAGCAAGCAAACTGACACAGGACAAGGAGCTTTGTACGACAGAGCCGTGACAGCTGAGGTGTGGGGCGGGGGCCTCCCGTCCCTGCTCTCACCGTGACAGGGGCAGCAGGAGGCAGGATGTCCCCAAGGGTGACGATGCCCACCACCCTCATCCCATGGCGCAAAATTCCCAAAAATACGAAGTCAGGCCAGGAGGACATCACCAGACCCCACCACCCTGGGGTGGCCGGCAAAGCCAGGCCGGGCTTTGGTCTCTGTGGGAGCTGCTGTTCCCTCGACTCCTTTTCCTCAGTTTACCCACGGTGCTGGGCTTGGAGCTGCAGCACCAAGGACGAGTACATCCCACTGCACCCCATCTTCAAGGGACCAAACTCGCACCCAGGACCTTCACACTGAGATACATCCCAGCCCCCTACTTTTCCCTTTTATTTGAGACAGGGTCTTGTTAAGTTCCTTGCCCAGGCTGAACTCGAACTTGTGACCCCCCTGATTCAGCCTCCCAGAGCACCTGGATTATCGCAGGGTCCTTCTGCCCTGCCTTCCCTCAGAGTCGGACTGTCCCAGGGCACCACAGGGACATACCCACCTGCAGGTTTGTGGCCAGGGAGGCAGTGTGCAGGGCCATTGAAGCTGCCCCTCGAGCCGGCAAGGAACAGGAGGGGCAGGAGACCCCGGAGCCCCAGGCCGTACCAGGAAGCCCAAGAGAGCTCAGCTTGCCGGCCTGCCCCGTGGCCTGGGCCTGGAAGTTCAGCACGTGGCCTCACATGCGGGGATACAGGTGCACAGAAGCAGAGCAGCCAGCAGCTGTAGCTCCGTCCCCTCTGCTCCTCTCTCCTTCTCTGTCTCTGTCTGGTCTCTTTCTCTGTCTCCCTCTCTGTCTCTGTCTCTGTCTCTCTTCCTCTCTGACCATACTAGAGGCTGAGCCCAAGTTTTCTGAACTGAACTATACACCGAGCCTTTTTTATTTCAGGCAGGAACTGACCCACTAACTTTCTGAATTGCCCAGATTGGGTTTG